TAAAAAGCACTAAAATGAAACAGAGTAAATATTTCATCTTATATAAGAACGATGCTTCTAACAACTTAAGTTTTCTGCTCTTGTATCTCCACAAAATTAAATAGCTTTCACGATCGTACAGTCTCCTGGTTCACCTTGTTAGCAGGTCATGTAGCAATAACCACGTATTTTTGGCATTAGATACGCATCTTACTAAACGACACGCTCCAAGATGACCATGCTACAATGTATCACTTAAATTTGCTTCACATGCGCGCTTGAAACGTTCTTCTGAGTCGTTATCAGCCTCATGTCTTCTGCATACCTTAATGAGGACGTAAATTTTGCAATGAGAGGATTAGGAAAGGCAGAGAACCTGATGACGCTATGCAAAAAACACAAAGGACAAATAATCACTCATACCCGCGAGTACGCGAGGCAAGCACTATATAATTTTCTTTTTTAGTAATCAATATTATGGTTTATCAATCACTAGCGCACATACCTTTCTTTTAAGCGTAGGGAGGATAGATAGCTGCTAAAAAGACTTTGGCCTACACACCTAAGTGACATATTGTGCGAATACGTGTCCTCGATAGCTCAAACTCTAAGAATGTCTCATTCTTGACCTTCGCTAATTCTTGCACTGACTAATTTAAACGTACGAACGGAACCTAGCTAATATTGTTCATATAAACACCGAAAGTCAGCTAACAAGCACATTGTGATAAAAAGCATGCATTTAAATCAGCCAATCATGTTGTGTTATTTTACTATGACGATGTATATCCGAAAGTTATGGGTAGGTAAATGATTCCCTAAAAAGTGCAGTGTGGTAAGTCGATCAGAGAAATTACACGTAAAATCCGCGATTGCCAAGATTAGCTGGCCTGGTAATGGTCACGGACTTTTTGGGACTGGACATAGATGGGACCGACCTTAAACGGGGTTGACCATTCAAAAAACCCTACGGAATCGGGGCATGGGTAAACGGCCTAGGTCATCAGTGGTGATTAGCGGTCACGGTCATCGGGAGCGACCAGCGGTCATTTCCATAGGAAGCTACCAGTTATCTTGGTCATCGGGGGTGACCAGAGACCACTGTCATCAGAAGAATCAATTTCACGGCAAGTGGGGTGCACCACTTAATGCGGACAAATGGGTGGTGGAAAGAAAGTCACGTCGAATAACCAGAGATATAGAAAAGAAATGGGTTTTTTTCTGGTCGCTTACAGATCATAACAAACAGGATTGATGTTCCTGCACAATACACGCTTTAGTACCCCTCCGGGCTGGAATAAAGTGTCCACTCAACGTAAAAGATCTGCTGTGCACGTTTTGTTACAGATTTGTCCTTATATCTCTTGGCTAGGAACAAGTATAATATCTCAATTTAGCCCGATACCGGACGCGACAACCATTCCAAGACAAATCTATTGACGAATCGTGTAATCCGACGAACAAGTGGGTCATGTAATTGCATCGGTCAAGGCGAACTCAAGAGAAATTGAGATAATATAGGGATCACTTCAAGTAGCCTCTAGTCGTGTGAAGGATATTTATGCGACAACATCAAGCCTATCCTTAACTCGGTCAATCCAGACAACGGCCTCAAGTCACCCAGAAGAGTGCGACCTCCCATAGATGGGTACACAAGGTGAGAAGGAACAAGACACGAAATACGGTCCTGGGCATCCATCCGTCAGTCGGTTGTCCGGGCAACAATGAAGATTTAATTGCGTATCAGTCTTTTCGCGATACCCACTTTACCTCAGTACTATATATATGGTTTTTGGCAGGGGTTAGTGGTTCGGGTTGTATACATCAGTGATGTTTCTATAAGTTTGTAGCTTAAATGCTTTTTTGGTGATCATTGGGTATGGAATCAGTCTTTTGCCGCAATTATTCATCAGTGAAATTATTCGACTTGTTTGTTGATAAGCCAGTCCATTTGATACATGATGCATAAATTATTCTGATTCGAGCCTTTAGATATTGTCCATACAGGTAGATCGACCATTATATAAACGTTGGATAAAGTAGTGACAAATTGTCATGTGTTCAATCTTGACCGAGAGAGTTAAGGCTGATAGGCTGTATAGACCACGTCCATTACGATAGGTAGCTGTAATGCATCTCTCTTCACATACATTCGATTGCACTACTTAGACCAACACAGACTTTACTTCCATCATCATCATCCTCTGCATCCTTTTCAAAAGTACTATTCGTGTTTGCTAGCATCTACTTATCCTGATACGTTTCTAAGCATCCTCGCGACCATCTGCAAAATCACCATCATACTTCCGGCAGCTACCCACTATCGTGTCTTACCTTGATGTTTCTTGTCAATTGTAATCTCACGATTCCTTATGTCTCACTTTTTATATCATTTGCAGCATTGTCTTTGATCCTTGTCGACACTGCGCTACTTATACTACAAGGACCTTACGATACCGCTTCGACGACAGCTGCACATATTTAAACGTATTCCTGTGAGAAGTATGGGGCTGACGTGGCCTTACGATCGAATGACAATTAGCATTTCAAAATACGCTACAAGCGTCAGCGTACCTTTCGCGACATTTCAATGCCTGTCCGGTACCCATTACGACGCTTCTAGTTCGGCAAAAACTAGACATGAACTGAAGAAGATGTTCGTAGAAGCTTACAACCAATTTTACGCATGCGTAAATTCTCTCGTACAGAATACATTAGCGCTATTAATGTTTTATTAATCATCTGTGCATTATTAGTCATATTATATCTTTTAAAGCTTTTCATTATCTAATTTGATTACAATTTCCATCTTGGACTTTGTGTGTTTTTCATATTCATTACCATATTTTTTTCTTTCCCTGTATACCCCCACTGAATGTCGTTATCGTGCTTCCAAAAGCACGTCGATGCAAAAAGATAAACGACGTACTCATATTTATAGGTAATACACAATCACTTGAGCGATCGAGTTGACATGGGTTCCGTGATCTGGTCTGCACTCTTGGTGTTATCACAGTGCTTGATGATAGAGGCTGCATTTAATGATCATGTACTGTTGTTAGTGACCTTTCAGGCAATACGTGTAGTATTACAAACATATTATCATCGGAAGCGTATATGCGTCATCATTTTGCGTGCCTAGTGTCAGTACTAACGCACCTGACCCTTCTGCATGGAGAAAGATATGGAGATACGTAACACTCACGTGTATCGTTGATGTGTATGCTTGTGAATGACATAGGAGGTCGCGTTTTGTAAAGCAAACCTGCACGATGCACGTGTACTATATGCGACGAGCAGAAGAAGCAAAAGACGGTAATGTTTGCATTTATCAAAGATTAAGCTTCGATCGATGTTTTGGGTGAAATGTATATGCGTAATCAACAAAGCTTGTAATTGTAGCGTATCTGTAGACCACGAACATTTTTGAATCGTGGACACATGTAGATCACACGGCTAATCCGTCTATGTATGCTGCAACATAATAGATTACATCCTTACTTGAATGGTGGCATTGCTGAACTTTGGGTCTTATGTAAATTATGTAAGCGGTATACTACTTGTTCCGTTCTAACACAGCAGCAAGAGACGGCATTTATAAAGTTCGAATTTGTTGCGTGAAGCATATCTCACTGTATTCTGAGTAGTGTACTCTCACTACTCCTGCCAATGTACGAGGCGACTACCCGTTGAATCGTGCCCAGATACGCATGGCGATGTTTGTAAGCCCGCTGCTTGCCGCGTCTCCGATGATATGCGTCAACATAGAAACATCTAGGAACATAACATTTGCGATGTAGAATGTAATGCGCTGTGCATATGACAATCGAGATACACCGGTGGAGATAATAGTCGCTATAAACTAGAATAGCAGCTACACAGTGCATTATCGCCGCGACGAACGATTTTTAGCTGCTACCGTTGAGAACGATGGCGAATACTTCACAAGTGCGCGTCTATCAACGAACGATTGACAACCCATGCTGATCTTGAGCCATTACTTGACCGAATCAAAAGCTCGTCCGATACTTATGGGCACACGACATCTGACATATCTCTTTCACGTTCGCCTTCGTTCGAGACTTCGAGCGATTTGCTGGGCAGTCACTGGATCACCGATCGAAACCCCTAACGCCTGAAAAGGTTCCGGACGACCGAATGGGACGCCTGACGAGCTCAAGTTTGACATACTTGTCCGACACAACCAGATCATTCTCCATCTCACGCTCTCTTCGAAAGCTCACCTGTTTGAATGGATTCCGTGCGTCCGAAAGTAGTGGATGCGTGCCTCACGGTGCCAACGTTGTTTTACAGTGACTCGAAGGATCGATGTTACGATGAACAAACTACTTAGGATAATTAAGCCGAGCTACTGTTGCTGCTGTGCAGCTTGTTGCTACCGTACAAGCTAGACGAATACCAGCTACGTCTGCACGACCGCAGAACATCACGACCGGCGACACGTTGCGGGTCGATGAGAGCTTGCGCATGGGATTGCGCGCCGTGTTGACTCACGGTCAGCTCGTCATTCGAACCGATTGTTGCAACTGTGCTCCCACTAAAGCGTACCTCAATGTAGCGGTAAGTGGAAGCAGCAAGTGGCACCAGCAGACGATCAACCCAATCAACGAATACAAAAGTCGTTGCAGTACCAAACACCGGTCAAGCACTCGTTTGATTTCGCAACTAAAAACGAGCTACACACGCGTGGAAGAAAAAGGATGCGCAGCTGTCCCATAAAATGAAGTGCACATCACAAGCCAAGTCAATCGCCAGAGTTCAGTCTCGACGTCTGCCTCCCCGCACCACACCACATGTACCATACAAACCCCCAGTCTTTTCCCGATCACCCGTTATTCTCGGCAGCTGCCGAATCTCACGGTCCTCTCTCCACCACTTTAGGACACTCGCTCGACCCACTGCATAACGTCCGTCACCTGCGATCACGAGATCCTTCCTGCTCGCTCGCGTCCACCCTCTCTCTCTCTCTCTCTCTCTCGCAGTGCGCGCAGTGCCCTCCCATGAGCGCCCCTGTCCTGAACCTCAGCTTCCTGCGCGCGGGCAGTCGCGGCACGTCGGTCAACTACGGCGGCGCCATGCCCGACATGCACCTGCCGCCCACCGCCGACGACCTGCACGAGCAGCTCCAGACGTCGACCGCGCTGTCTGCAGGGTTTCTATTGCCGCCCGTGGCCGACCCGGCCGCCTACGCCCGTGCGCACTTTCAAGTCAAGTACACGGAGGACAACGCGCAGGCGCTGCAGTTCGCCAAAGGCACGACGACGCTCGCGTTCATCTACGAGGGCGGCATCATCGTGGCCGTCGACTCGCGCTCGACCATGGGGCCGTTCATTGCCTCGCAGCAAGTGAAGAAAGTGAACGCGATCAACGAGTACATTCTCGCGACATTGGCCGGCGGCGCTGCCGACTGCCAGTTCTGGCAACGCAACTTGGCCGTCCAGTGTCGGCTCTACGAGCTGCGCAATCGCCAGCGCATTTCGGTCCGCGCGGCCTCGAAGCTCATTGCCAACACGTGCAACTACTACAAACGCTACGGCATGTCGCTCGGCATGATGATGATGGGCTACGACAATGGCGCGCCCGTGCTCTACTACGTCGACGACGAGGGCTCGCGCATCCCCGCGAGCAAGAGCGTGCCCAAGTTTAGCGTCGGCTCGGGGTCCACCTACGCCTATGGCGTGCTCGACTCGAACTGGCGCTGGGACTTGACCGACGACGAGGCCGTTGAGCTCGGGAAACGCGCCATCTACCACGCGACGCACCGAGACGCCTACAGTGGCGGCTTTTGCAACGTGTTTGTGTTCAAGCCAGACGGCTTCCAGCACGTCGTGCACGAGGACGTCAAGAACATGCACGACTATTCGCGTGGCTACTAAGCAGACAGGAGCGGTGGCTGACGTCAAGCTGCGCGCTGGTGCAACGCGCGAAGAACGACGTAGCACTGCAGGTCGCGTGGAGCTGAAAGTCGGCCAGCACTTTTGTTCGTGGGTCTGCTGCACAAGACGCCTTCGTTGCATGATTCAGAATGAAGAGTGCGACCACGTGGTTTCTGCTCTTGACGTGACTCGCTCATGGGCTCTTTCGTTTTAATTTTGCTCGATGTTTTGTGTTACAGCACGAGTATAAGTATTACCACTGCAAGTCTACTAGCAGCATCCCCACAAACCCTGCGCCGTCCGCCACGCGTGAAAACTGGTAGCCCTCGCCGGCCAAAAAGCGCTCGACTGCTGGCAGTAGACGCGCATTGCCGTCCGGACCCCTGGAATGGTGCCCGGAACCTGTGACCAAGTATATGCTGTCCACACCTTCGTCTGCAAGCTTAGGCAGCATCTGGGAAAGAAATTCGACAGCCTCAGCTACGTGCAGTCCATGAAGGTCCATCATCCGATCCATGTACAACTGGTTCGGCGGGTTGCGCGACTCGAAGATCTCGGACGCTGCCAAAAAGTGCAGGTGCTTCATCTTGGTATTGTACTCGTGCCCTTGCTTTGACAGTCCTTTCGCCAGTGCTTTGTTACCACTGCCAACGCAACCACATGACGACGGCGACGTGAGGCAACCATCCCATATGCAGTATTACTTCACTGTACCTTCGATACGCCTGCGTGGCGCCCATGAAGCACTTGTTGCGCGCGCACGCCATTTCGTAGGCCCGCTCGCGCAACTTCAGGTACTGCATCGCCACAGCCTGGCCGGTCGAAAGCCACTTGGTCCCGATACTGTCACTGCTCCCGCTCTTGTGATACAGCAGGCGGTGCACAGACGGTGGAGGTGGCGGTCGTCGCGTCGGGTGCATGCCGTAGCTGCCGTTGCTTGATGGACGAGTGACTGCTGCGCGTCTTGGCTGTAGCGCTACAGCGCGAGCAAAGTTCATGGTGAGATTCGCCACGACATCGTTCGTCGACGGGTAGGCGTCCATCATGACTTCGGACGACGTGGTGTCACCTCTTGCCGGGGGTTCCCGCGCAGCCAAAGGCGCTTTTGAGGCGCTCTGGAGGGACGGAAACGCGTCTTCAGCTTGGATGTCCAGAGATGTGCTGTTCTGGTCCATTTCGTCCTCGCTGTCGTAATCACGCCGGCCCAGCGCATTGTCATCCATCGAATAGTATTCGCAGAAATCGTGCGCAAATACGCAGTGCTCTGCTTGCAGACACGAGCCACGCAGCCAGAACCGACAGGTTATCATGTTCGTGTCGTGCAGAAACTATGCAAACCGAAAGTCAACGAGAGCCACCACAAGAAAAGAAGCCACAGCGTCGTCAGTCACTCCCACACTAAGTCATGAGTCATAGTTATTCCTGAGAGTGGTAGACCTCACCATACAATCTGCGCGGCGACAATCGCCTTGCATGTAGTGACGACACACTTGGCTGGGTCCGACCGACTCACGCTCAATCGTCACCTTCAGTACGGCATGGGCCTTGTCCACGTCCAGTCCCACAAGTCGCAAGAGCTCGCACATTCGATCGGGGTCGATATCCTGGAACTTAAGCTGCAAGTGGCTCACCAACTGAGCAACGTAACCAGAATGACAACGAGCACAAATCACTTAGCAACATGTCCATCCACCTCGACGATTGCACGCTGAGACCATAGCGTGTCTCTGTTCGCACAAACACAACCGAGAGACGTCCAACAGCACGTCTTGTCTCTACCTCGTAAGCCACGGACCAAAAGAAACTGTCTTCGTTCTGCATAGCGTCCTCCAGACCGTCCTGCGCGTCGTCCGCTTGCTTCCTGTCGTCCGCATCGTCCTTCTCGTACGCCCCCTTGCTCTGCAAATGAGGCGGTGGCGCACACAGCGGCGTCGACAAACACGTCGTTTGCCTGTCCTGAGCCACATCCGTCTCACTGTGCGTCACTGTCGTCGTCGTCGGGTGAAACTCGGCAACGGCGGGCGACAGCAACTGGCGAGGCACGAACGACGGCGCCGACGCCTTGAGCTCTTCTCCCTGGTCAGCCATTTGATGAATGTCGTCCTTCAGATGCACACGATGGCCACTGCAGTGAGCGGCTAACGCCGTTGCGGCGTCCGTGAGCTGCACCGCATTTTCCGCGAGCGTCACCAGCTCATCGACAAACTCCAGCACACGGTCCTGACGACCACAACACACAGCACAGAAAAGACAGCAGCACGAGCAAAGCACACGAGAAAAAAAAGCACAAACAACGACAGCAGACCCCAAAAAAACAACGTCGAATAAGTAGCACAGCAGCAGTCGACAATAAAAAGCAAAAAGTGGATCAGAATATATATATATGTATTATCTATGCGACGTGTGAGAACGGCACCTCGTCTTCGGGGGCGAGCCACCCCATGAGCACCTCGTGGATGTTGCACTTGGCTTCCTCCAGACGGTCGCGGTCGAGCTCCATGTGCGGTGGCAACATGGCTACAATGTAGGGCGCAAACACTCTGTCGACGCCCAGTGCCTCGAGGTGCGCCGTTGCCCACGTCTCGAGCAACTGCATGGCGTTTGTTAAATGAGCTGAGAAAAAAAAGTGTTTTCTTTATTTGGTCAAATTGTGAGAGCGAGCGAGAGGAATAAAATAAAGAGCGGCTCCGCAGCCCGTGCTCTACGCCGCGACGTCGTTTACCCCTATGTATGATATTAAATTTAATTTCCAGAAGTGTAAAAACATCGATTTGATAATTTTGTTGTCGCTGAGATTCTAAACAGTCATTCTTTAGGCAGTATAGTTGTCAGTCATTTCGAGAGCTTGCTACAGCATATCGTTAGCCGCTTCGATGTATCGTAAAAGAGCTCATGGGAGGGGATGTCTTATCGTTTGTGAAGGTCACAGCAAACGTCATGACGCGCTAGTCGCCACTGGCCAATGTTGAATCCGTGAAGGAGAGACTTGCCTGATGTGCTGCTAAAAGTGTTGCGCATAAACGCAGCGTAAGACTCTTGCGCATCTTACGCTGCTGTAAAAATTGGTTTCCACATACTTATTCCATCTCGATGCACTTTAAACATCGCCGACGTTTGTAGGGTTCAATGTATATTTATGTGCTGGAATTGCGATAAATAGTGCTTGTGGAAAGAGACAAAAGTTCGCGCATATCTGACGGACATTGTACAACACGAAAGCTACTGCGTCATCAAAAGCAAGGAATTGAGAATAGCATTTTGTCAAAGTAGAATCAAGTATGTAAACGGCATAGCTCTCATAAATGTACCGCATTAATTGACGAGTATATCAACGCAATTTAAGCATTTTACTTGCGAAGTATAGAGTTCAGTGCATCGTAAAGGGTTCAGAGTTCATGACCCATACGACTTTCGGTATCGGTATCAAAAATAACACTGCTGGATATTCACGGCCTTGTGTGTGCTCATTCAAAGTATCGCAAGCTGTATACCAGAGCTACAATAGCTCTGATATCCAAATTACAACAGTGACATATATTTTAACACTTGTAACCATATATTTGTAGCATCACGAATTCTGTTGTACAGCTTCAGTAACTCCATCTTTTCCATAGGCTTACTTGTTGTGAAGCATAGCTACAATGTAGAATTGTCATAGGATGCCTTTGCTGTAGTTGCCACCTATATTTATGAACGGATCTATGACCCAGATAGTCAGCTAACTGAATAAAGGGCGACTTAGTGCGTCAACTAGTTCGATGAACAACGACAATGAGATTAGTTATATAATAAACGACTCTTAAAGTCAACTCGTTCAATAAACAGCGACTGGTGAGTTCAACAAGTTCAGAAATTGTAAATGTTCCGGACTCAAAAAGTGTTATACTTACCAATCATTAAACGGTATTGAAAATTTAATTAGCACATTAGGCTCAAGCGATAAGCGTTATCAAAGCACTAATTTCATTAATTTTTTAAAACCTGAACAATGTTTGTTCAGCTACTTGAACCCATAACAATTTGGTTTCAATACAAAAGTGTAAAGTTTCGCTTTTTACAGGAGTAACCCTGATAAGTATCTCTCTGGGTGGACAGCACGTGTCAAGTCTTAGATAGCGTACTTAGAACTAGAACCACACCGATGTGTGCACGTACTCAAAAACTGGATCTATAACGCCCAAACTTACCCATATAACGAAGTGTAATTACCATTGTCATGGAGGGTATCAGATTCGTTTTCGACGATTCTATTATCTTCTTTGTCCTAGACTATTAATCTTTTATGCCACTAATCATTCGTCTTTTACCAATTTTCTGGTTTCGCTACCGATCCCAAAAAAACAGATTAACATATTTTCCGAAATGCCGGCCTCGAGCATATAGTTCGATCACTGACTAATCCGCAAACACCCTAACTCTACCAACAAGTAGATAAAGTCTCAATATATCGAGATTTTACGTGACAGCGTCAGCGGGGTATTTCTTCGCAATCATTTTCCAGCTAACTTTTCCTGCTCGACCTGTTATCGTTAGAAATGCCGACTCAACTCGATGTTCCACCTCATTAAGATCGATGCGTAATTAGCTGTCAATACTCAAGCAGTCCTACCGTAGATTTCGATTTGCGTCTTTACGGCAGAATAAGGTTTACGTCTATATTTTCGCCGTTCAGCTATAGATTCCATTGTTGCTTCACACACGGCGTGTTCGATTTCTGCCATCAATATAATATTGCTTTATACCTGCTTATTTATTACGCTACTGCGCCGCTGCAGTCTCAAACCCAAATCTACTAGTTCTATTATAAGTGCCCGAATACCGCTCGCAATCACTGTCACAGCGTCCATTACAGCAATCGCTTACCTAGTGACGATATTGTAGGCGTGAATACTTGTATGTTGAATCCCCATCTTTTTCGTACGATACAGATAGCGCTGTACACTCGTTTCACACCCTAGATTCGAAGGCCGATAGAAGCTCCTTTCATTGCTTTATTTCGCTAATAAGATTGGATTTTTTTGCAGGTATCCTCATAAATAAATATGACGATGGCGTCACGAAAGTCGTAGCTATTTTTTACCTTCTCGCTTTGCCGCATGTGTGAAGTAATTCTGTAAGGGTCAATTACGCCATGAGTATCTCCAAACCCGAGGTGTATATGGCGTTTCATCGTCATACTTTGACTATTAATGAAAAGCGGTTATGACATCATCTAGGCCCGAAACCCTATAAAACTCTTCAGCTCCGCATGGTTCTTCTCAATGTAATGATCATTAGGGTCACTATGAAAATCCACTCTTGTTTTCCTCTGATTCGTTGCGCAGAGAATGTAATTTATGTTAAAAAAGCAACAATTTATGTACCGATTCATCGCCACTTATATACGAACAAGCTATGGTAAAGCGGCGTTTATTTTCGCTTCTAAATATTATAATACCGACGTCTCACCATCAATCGCAACACATTTGTCCGAGACCATACACGGCCATTCGCAATACGCGAAAGTTTATTACAAGAGCTCTCGCACGGAGCAAATATTAATTTTAGTACGTATCGCGAATTCGTCAAATTCGCGCTAAAGAAAGGCGTATTATAGTCTTTCCTATAGAGCTTAAGAACGCAAAAATGTAGCTGGCACCACGATTGATCGAGACGACTATATTTGTGCAACACAGAATTCATTTTCTTGTTATCAATCCCAGACCGTTGCCAATTTTCGAGTGCTTCTACTATAACATTTTCGATAACACGTACCCAGAATAGTTCGTCTTTGTCACCTAAGCATACATAGTAAATATCATTGGTGCACGAGACGACACTTCATATTATATAACTTAATCCATCTCTATAAATGGACGATATTACGTATTTACTATTTTCGCTTTGAATAGATGCATGATAGCATAGACCACCGGTCGTCGCACTTCTTGAGGCAATTTCCCATCGCTTTTACGAATTGGCTGGCGGTTTTGGTCTTGTGTGTACGCGTATCTCAGTGTCAAATTTAGTGTTGTCATCGTATCTTGTACTCTTCTCTCTTACTATCTGATTGACCGGTATCACTGGTGATGTTATCTGCATTGTTGCTGTTTACGCTTTGACACAACGTGATCTACATTGTGTGCATCAGCGTGTTTTGTTAGTATGCATCGAATCAGTTGTCATTTTGTGATGCTACTTATAACATTTAATTTGATGCCTTGAAGACGCCCGCCTCGCTCGTAATACCCATCTATACAGGTATGCTGCCTTATTTCAACTTACTTGCTTGTAATATCATCATCTGCATGATTCATGCTGACTTTTTTATGTCCTAATTAATACAGCGTCCCCGTAATGCGATCCTTGGATACGATTTAATGAGCAGAATTTATCAAGAGTTGACCATTTCTCTCGCACATTATGTAGCTTGAAATCTCGTACTTCTTGGTATAAAGTAGCCCTCCAACTTTATCTAATGTTACCGCTAGCTCATTTTCTTCTATTTCGACACACAGCGCCGACGGAACTCTTGAGACTACGGACACAAAATTTTGAAGCATATAGCATCTTAAAAGCACAAAATCTAACGTCCGGAAAAAAATGTTCCTATAACGCTCTTATTCTTCTCTTTCTGTTACTGTGAACAGTGTGTAATGAAGTGAAACTACCCATCAGATTATTTATATATGATAATATTAGAATGTAAATATACTTATCGAGCCTTGTCATGTTCTGATCCAATTCCTATTCGTACGCAAGATCCTCGTATATAATATAACGCGTATCCAAACTGGTCGTTAAAAACACATTTCGCCTGTAATTTAGCTTTCTAGCATTTTCTCGTTTGTGTGGATGTATCATATTATAAAAAAAGTCTTACGTCTTTGATCCAAACCTCTGTGGTAGTGCTGCAGACTTACTCTCTATCGACTTTATGTATGTAATAATATTTACTTTCTTGATTATCACTACATATTCAATCACTCAGCTAATAACAGTGCGCGATGTCTCGTTGACGTATATAGTCCGGTCATTTTCACCATGTACATCGCCATATTTAATGTAAGCACATTTCTCCCCCTCTACAAGACTTACATGCAAACAATAAAGTCTACTATCACTTTCTTCCTTCTTTGCCGGGTGTACCATGTCTTGTGCCATTCTACATCAATTCGTTTCCTGGTTAGTCAATGGACGCTAACCTAATCAACCGGAACTTATTTGTACATACCTCATTTGCGCTACATTTTAAGCATAGACACGAATTGGTAATACAATCATGTATTGCTGTTTCTGATCAGTGATCATAGCTCATGTTGCTTCCCACGATGAGAATCGCAACGTCTAGTACCGCAAGTTGACGTCTATGGTCAACGAGGTGTCTTTGTATGACATGTAAGCACTTATGCATGCGAAATATAATGTCCACCTATACCACTTCAGTAAGTGTATGGACACCATGGTTTTTCTTACGTTTTCTACCGAAGCATCGTCTAATGATATCATATATCTTACAATCATAGTCCTTCAAAATACTTACGTCAACCAATGTTTCGGCCTTATCAAACTTAAGCATCAGGTAATGAGCACACATGTGACCGAGACGTTTGTTTA